GACAGGCTTTATCCTATAGTTCAGGCTAACCTTGAACTTGGGATCTCTCTGCCTCAACTTTCCAAGTGTTGGGGCTACAGGTGGGTACCACTGGAATTGGCAGCAAATAAATTTTTTTCTTTTTGATTGCAAGGAGTGCCATTGAGGTGCTAGTTCTGTTGAGCTCACAGATTTTGATATGTCTGCCTCTGCCTTCCAAGTACTGGGATTAAAAACATGAACCACCATACCCAGGCCTGTTTTTACTTTTTAAAGGTGTGGTTGGTAGCTCAGTGTGGTGGTACTGATTTTTAATTTCAGCACTATAGATACTAAGCCAGGAGGATCAAGAGTTTTGAAAAATGGCTTTTGGAGAATGAACCATTCCATGTGAGCTCACAGCATTGTTCTGTGACTGGCTGTATCGAGTACAATCAGCTTGATTCATGGTTCTTTTGAGGTAGGCTATGCACAGTTTCATGTCCTTGTTCCTAGTTCCACTGTAGGTCTCTGCATTTGTATTATTCTTTTTATTTTATTGGATGCTTGGGAACAATTTCCTGTACTTTTAGTTTTTCAGTATTTTTTCAAAGTGTATACTCCTGTGTCTGCATTATAGAAATAAATGAGCTCTTTTATTCCAGCACCCCTCCACCACTGGGTTGCTAGAAGGGCCAAGCAAGGTGAATGGTAGCCAACCAACATCACATCTACGCGGATGGGGCAAGATGGTGGAGTTGCTGTTCAATGCCTGTCATGGATGAGCAGCAGGCAGACTGCATGGGCTGGTGGAGGCAGTGCCTGGAGCTGAGCCCCTGCCCTGTGGAGCCTGTTGCTTATGTACCTGGCATTTCCACATGCAGAGCCCTTGGCACAGCCCAGCACCTTGAGGAGTATCCTCAGATTATCAGGATCTGGAATTGGATGTTTTTTCTTAGGCAAGGGGGAATAATTTGTGGCCAGCACCCTTCCCAGTTCCCTGCCCAATCACTGAAAGATCTGGGTGATTCCATGCTTTTCTCTCAGGCCCAGGGACCAGTGAGACATTCAAACTAGTAGGTCTAGTGATTTTTCTCTGAGATTCCTCCTTCCCACTACAAGATCATTGCACTGGGGGCTTCTGAGATGACTTAGTGGTTAAGAGCATGTATTCCAGCACCCTGTTGGGCAGTCCATAACCACCTGTAACTCCAGGGGAATTTGATGCCTCTGGCCTCTACAGGCACCTGCACTCACATGTGTACCCCTTCCCCCATACTCATAATTAAAAAAAAATAGATAGATAAGGAAAGTTGTACTGCATTGGATGGTATCTAGTCAAAAAACCTCTTGGAACCCTAACCTGGTGATGATCCAACAAGCCCTTGTGTTTCTGTGTCCTGCATTTCCTTGGGGTCTTTCCCCTCTTCTTCCATTTAGAACACAGTAAATAGCTTTTGCTTCTGTTTCTGTGGTCCCTCCAAGCTTTCCTTCCGTTGCTCAGATTTGCTGTCTTACATCACAAACTGAGTGGTCCCACACTCTGGGGACTTGCTTTACCATTGGCATCTATTTTCTGCTCTTCCTATGGTGCTTGTCTCACTGGTCTTTATTCCTGCCTCTCACCTTGTCTCCCTGGAGCATGTGCTCTCCTTTGCCTTCTTGCTGGGAAGATGTGCTCTAGGCTTCTTGCCCCGGCTTTTTCTTGCCCGGTAGATGACCCTACTGCCTATAGGGCACCTGTGACCATCTTCATACAGGTTTACTGTTGCGAGAGCCCTTTGCTCACTGATGTGAGTCACCACCTCTGTGTGTGCTGTATTCTATATTCTTTTAAAAGATTTATTTATTTTATGTATGTGTTTTGCCTGCATATATGTATGTGAACCCATGCAATGTCCTTGGAGGCCAGAAGAGGACCCTGGATCCCTTGGAGCTGGAATTGCAGATGGTTGTGAACTACCACGTGGGTGCTGGGAACTGAACCTGGTACCTCTGCAAGAGCAACAAGTAGTCTTAAACCCTGAGCCATCTCTCCAGGCCTCATGTTCCACATTGTTCTCAAAGTACTGAGCAGTAAGTATGCAGTAAGCATGAGTTGAGTGAGTGGCCTCCTGGCCCAAGGAGGAGAACCCTTTCCTCATCAAGAAGAAGTGGTTCATCCTGGTGGAGAGCGAGGCTCACCTCCACTTGCTCTCTGTATGGTAGAACTGCATTCCATGAACTGCAGTTTCCTCATCCTTGCAATGGGGTCTGACTACTCAGTTAAGAGGAACTGTGAAGAATACATGAGACTCTCCCCTGGCATAGACAGGGTGCCATTGGAGCAGTACCTCCTGCACTTCCTTGCCCTTTTCCAAGTGACTCACTTTGCTCCCCAGTCTGCTGGGACTTTCTGTCTGTTTTTCCTCCCTGCCTAATAGAGTGCACTTGAGGCTACTTGCGTCTGTTCTAACTCCCACCCTTCTTTGGCAGGAGGAGCTGGAGCATCTGAACCAGGCTAGTGAGGAGATCAACCAGGTGGAGCTACAGCTAGATGTGAGTGTCTCATTCCTCACGCCCTCGGGTTGGTCTCTGGAGATGTCTCCATTTGTGTTTTCCTAGATTGAGACAGTGGTAGAGAAATGGGTGTGTCTGAGAAATGAGCTTCTGAGATCTGTATGCCTGCTTTCTATCTTCCCTCCCAGGAGGCCAGGACCACATACCGGAGGATCCTTCAGGAGTCTGCAAGAAAGCTTAACACACAGGGCTCTCACTTGGGGAGCTGTATTGAGAAGGCCCGACCCTACTATGAGGCTCGACGACTGGCTAAGGAGGTATGCCTGTGTTTCTGCCACTGTGACAAATACTAAGACCTTAGGGAGGAAAGGGATTATGTAATTTACACTTGCAGGTCACAGTCCATCATTGATGGAAATCAGAGGAGCAAACCAACCAAGAACTGTAACAGAACCATTAGGAACCCTCCTTGCTGGCTCACTTGAAGGCTTATACTCAGCTAGCATTCCTATATAGTTCAGGACCACCTGTTCAGGGAATGTGCTACCCATAGTAGGCTGGGCCCTTTTACATCAATTAACAGTCAAGTCAATGCCCTACAGACATGCCCACAGGCCGATCTGATCTGGACAATCCCTCCGCTGAGATTCTGAGATTCCGAGATTCCCTAGGCTGTCTCTAGTTGACAGAACCAGGTAATAGGGCAGTTTGACCTACAATCAGGGAGGGCTTTCTACAGGTCTATCTCTGGACTCTCCAGACTGTGTATGTAGTGGAGAATAAGAGCCTGTGAGTTGAGGAGGTTCTTAGAGTTGTAGGAAATGGGTTCAGGGGGCCAGTGAGATGGCTCAATGGATAAACGCTCCTCCTGCCATGCCTGATAACCTGAGTTCATTCACTGGGATCCACATGGTGAAAGGAGAGAACTGACTCTTGTGTATTGTCCTCTGACTTCCATATGCATGGTGTGGTGTTTGTGCTGACACACGCACATACACACACATATAAATATGTAAGAAAATGGGTTCATGGTCAAGAAATGGTTGTGTGGAGGCATTGGGTTTGCAGGGAAATTTGTTCAGTGTCACTAATGACTTCATTCTTTCTATCCTTCCTTCTCCTCTTCTCTTCTCTTCCTCTTCCTCTTCACTTCCTTCCCCTGTCTTCCCCTCTCCTCTTCTCTATTTCCTTGGGCTGAGATCAAACCCAGGGTCTTGGGAATACCATACAAGAACTCTACTGCTGAGTTCAACCCACAGGATGTCTTCTGTGTTTAAGTAGTTAGGATTCAGGGTATGCCTAGGATATCCACTCTGACATCCTATAGTTTTCTTTGTTTCTCTCTTCCTCTTCCTTCCCTCTCCTCTCTCTCCCCTCCCCTCCCTTCCCTCCCTGGCTTTGGTCCTTCCTTTTAGAAACAGGGTCTCTCTATGTAGTTCTGGTTGTTCTGGAACTCTACTGAGATCAGTCTAGCCTCAAACTCAGAGATTTGCTTGCCTCTGCCTCCTGAGTGCTGGGATTAAAAACAAGGGCTACCACACCTGGCTCAATAATTCGACTGCTGTTTTTTTTTTTTTTTGTCATTTATTATATCAATATTTATTATTATTAATGGGAATTAAATATGTGACCAATATGGATTCTACACTATATTACCCACTTAGGTATATATAATCACCATGCTATATTCAAATTTCATTACAAAATTTCATCCAGCCCTGTCATTTTCCACTTATATTTTGCATATGAGAACCACTTCTTAGTAACTTGCATTTTTTCAGAGTTTCATTTTGAACCAAATTTGAATTTGATGACAAGAGAATTTCTAATTATATATGAATTAAACAAAATATAGAAATAGTAAGGTGGGAAGCTGATGTTCTCTACTCCTCTCAGCAGCCTGTTTTTTGCTCTCCAGATTCTTAAATTTGCATATATGATAGATTTAGCTTTAAATAGTATAAATTGATAATTAACATTCATTTGAAAACAAACACATAAACTCTGCTCAGGAAATTTTATATTTATTTCTTCTTTTGTTTATACAATTTTATTCACACTGCTAAATTTGGTAGAGTTGTCTTTTTACACTAATACCTTTTATAAATTTCATTTAAAAAGTCTGTTCATGCCCTAGGGATAGATCCTGGTTCCATTGCCAGGATTCCCACAAGTTGTCAGGGAGGGGGAGGGGGAGAGGGAGAGGGTGGGGGATTAACTGGTGGGTATGTAAAATAAATTAAAAAAATAAAAAACCTCATTTATTCTACAATCTATAACAAAAAGTTTGATTTGATAATTTATGCCATTCACTTGGTCAAATGTGCAAACTATTCCTGTTTTTAGAGAAGTACAGGAGATTGATGAGGTTATATTAGAAGTCTGACTTTTAAAAAAGTATATCCATGCAGAATTTGATGAGTTGAAATCCTTGAACTGATTCCTGATTCATGTAGTTTCTTAACCCTGTTTGTGCCCAGTGTATGTCATACCAACCCTAAAAGCGAGTATGTTTGTTGCTATGAATCTGTGTTTCTTTGTATGCTATAAGCAGCTAATCATGTATTCTTCCCTTTACTATTATTTCCAAATTTTGCCTTTTTTTGTTTTAAAAACTACTTTCTTGTATAAACAGGGTCATATAATATGTGCTATCTTTGTTCCTTCATCTTACCTGTGTTACTGTGTTATGACATAATAGCAAAGCTGTAGACAGTCACCTTCTGGGGATGAAGTGCTTTGTGGGGCTGGAGAAATGGCTCAGTTAAACACTGTTTTGCTACTGAGCCACACACCTAGCCCTGTATTGTACTTTATAAGCTCAATAGCTATTTTCTTTTTGAGACAGAGTTTCCATGTAGTCCTGTCCTGGAGCTTATTATGTCCAACAGGCTGGCCTCAATCTTAAACTCACAGAGATCTGCCTTCCTCTGCCTTGTGAGTGTTGTTATTAAAGGTGTGTGCCATCATGCCCAGATGTGCTGTTTCCATTTGTAAGACATGCTCTTTTAGTCCATTTCCTGTAAACCTGGAAGCTTGTGTTTGCTTCCAGGTTTTAGCTTGGCTAGTACTGGTTGAATATCCCTTATCTTAATTTTGGATAGAGGATGTATCAGATGTTAAACTGATAACAGATGTTATGCTTGATCTTAGCCAGTGAGCTGAGAAGTGGTCTTTATCTTAATTTTGGGCTAAGAAGTATTTTAGATTTTTTTCCCTAGATTTTGGAATATGTGCCTATATATAATGACATACCTTGGAGATGGCAATTAAACTCAAATAGGGAATTCATGTAAATTTGATAAACATCCTATACATATAACCTGATAGATGTAAATATTTTTATTTAATTTGTTTTTATTTATGTGTATGTATATATGTTAGTCTGGCTAGATTTCATGTGGCCACCATGCACTGACATTATCTTAATATTTCTACATTTCTTTTTCTAATCTGTGTCTATCCTTAGTGTGGTTTGAGAAATGAAACTGACATTATAAGAGGGTCTTCCTCTTTCTCTTGTCCTTAGCCCTTTGAGGGCTCTCCGTCCTGATGGCCCTCTCCCCACAGGCCCAGCAGGAGACACAAAAGGCAGCATTGCGCTATGAGCGTGCTGTGAGCATGCACAATGCTGCCCGGGAGATGGTCTTCGTGGCTGAGCAGGGTGTCATGGCTGACAAAAATCGACTGGACCCTACATGGCAGGAGATGCTCAACCATGCTACCTGTAAGGTAAGGGTCTGCTAGGAGGTCCCCTTCACTGCTCCTCCACTCTCCCGTTTCCTCTGGGTGGGGCGACCCATGAGCTTCTTCCAGACAGTGACTCTGGATTCAGTACTTAAGTGTTAGGTTCCATCATGTGACTCCTTTTTCCCGTTTCCAGGAAGTTTCCCTTCACTGGTCTTGCACTCTGCCAGTGTATCTTGGAGGTTTAATTTGTGTACCATTTCCAGGTTCCTAAAAGTAGACTGGGAATTCGGGCACCCTGCCTCATTCTGCCTCCTTCAGCTTGTTCATGGCATGTATTAGCTCCTGGGTAGTGGGTGACTGTGTCTTTCAGTTTTTGGGATGCCTAGAGAAGACACTTTGTCCTATTGTGGGCCTTATGAATGAGTGTAGGTGTGTTGGCTAACCATAGGAATGGGAGTACCCTTGGGGTTGACTGGTTCTGGGAGACAAGGTAGCTGAAGCCTTCTCCTGTTTCCTGGTTACATGCTGTTGTGGGCTACACACAGATAGGGAGGGTGTGGAAACTAGGAGAAGCCAGCATGCCTCTGTGGCTTTCCACAGGCAGTGCCTTCTGTCCCTGACCCCTAGCCATTGGCACTGAGGGGTCCCTCAGGATTATTTGGTTGCACAGTTGCAGTGTGCTTGAGGTATTCAGCCACTCCAGCTTAGGGAATAAGCTGGCTGTAGCACCCTTCCATGGTATCAGCAAAGCTGGTGGCAGGTCACAGAGGTGGTGACAGGCAAGACAGTGGGGAAGAGTAAAGACCTTGTGCTTGAGGTCTGTGACCAAAAGAGATGGGAAGAAGCTTGTGTTGTCCCTGAATGCCTATTGTCTCACTTTGTAGACAACAGGGGTGGAGGAAGGACTTCGCAGAAAATGCTATTCAGGTTCCCCCAGGGCAGCGTATATATTGGCAGCCTAGGGCTGATCCCAGGGATGTATGTGTGCCAGCTCATTGATGTGTGTCCCCCTCCCAACCTGGGCCAGGTAAATGAGGCAGAGGAAGAGCGTCTTCGAGGCGAGCGGGAACATCAGCGTGTGTCCCGGCTGTGCCAGCAGGCTGAAGCTCGGGTCCAGGCCCTGCAAAAGACCCTCCGACGGGCCATTGGCCAGAGCCGACCCTACTTTGAGCTCAAGGCCCAGTTCAGCCAAATCTTGGAGGTAGCTAAGCGGGGAGAATGGGCAGGTAGAGGGAGTGCTGGTGTGCTTCTTTTATCAGTGCTGGGGGCTGATGAGGGTAAAACCTTGCTAGACTAGCCAGAACCCAAAATGATTCTGCAGGAGTGAGAAGCTGGGGTGAGTGGTTTATGCTGCTCATTTCTCAAGAAGCAAAGTTGGAATGGGGAAAGTGAGAATTGATGGAAGCTGGGAATGGGGGAAAACCAGCCAGATGGAGAGGAAGAATGGAGAGAAAGGGAGGAGGAGCCAGTGGGGTGAAGACCTGGGAGAAAGGCTGGGTGGGGCTCAGGTCAGGAGGGACATTCAGAGGGTATAGTGGAACTGGAGAAAGTATTGCAGTTTAGAGGTGCTGAGGCCATCTGGGGCCTCTGGGGTAGCAGGCCTGACCTTGGGGAAGAGTGATGAATGGGTTCAAGACATCTTACAGGTTACCTGTCTCCCTCTGCAGGAGCACAAGGCCAAGGTGACAGAACTGGAGCAGCAGGTGGCACAGGCCAAGACCCGCTACTCAGTTGGCTCTGTGTAACCTGGAACAGATCAGCGAGCAGATTCATGCCCGGCGCCGGGGCTTGCCTCCTCATCCTCTGGGCTCGCGGCGATCTTCCCCTGTGGGGGCTGAAGCTGGGCCTGAAGGCATTGAGGATGGGGACAGTGGGATCGAAGGGGCAGAGGGTGGGGGCCTGGAGGAGGGCAGCAGCCTTGGGCCTGGTCCAGGCCCAGATACGGACACGCTGAGCCTATTAAGCCTTCGCACCGTGGCCTCTGACCTGCAGAAGTGTGACTCAGTGGAGCACCTGCGTGGCCTCTCGGACCATGCCAGTCTGGATGGCCAAGAGCTGGGACCCCAGAGCCGGGGACGCCGGGGAAGGGACAGTGGAGTCAGAGGGCCGGCATCAGCACAGTGTCAGCCTGTAGCTTTGTGACCAATGTGCTGGCATGACTTCTACTATGGGCAACCAAGGCCCCACAGGCCTTTTTCTCCTCGAGTCCTGTCTGCCCCAGATTTGGTCTGCAGCCTTCCCTGGGCAAGGTCAGCTGTGTCTCAGTCCTGTCTCCCTAGCTTTCTCACAGTCCCTTCTTTCAGGAGGCAGCTCTCTCTTTGCCTTACCCACACCCAGAAGGCTTGCGCTCTGGCCCTGTCTCCTTGTCCCCTCCTGGCACTTGAGTCTCTCTGATGCTCTCTGATTTCCTCTTCTGACCTGACTTCTATCTGTCTGGCTTTTCCCCTCAGGGAACTTGGTCTAGAAGACACAGAAAGGTCACATGAGAACACATGTCCTAGCCCAAGTGGTTGGACAGGTCCTCACCTGGTGTCCACTGGTACTGTCTTCCCAGAAGGCAGCTCCCCAGGGTGCGCTGGGTATGCTGCTGAGTCCCGGCAGCCTGTGCTCTTGTCCTGTCCTAGCTTGCCTGTGAGCAATGTGTAAAATGTCCATGTGCCTCTGGAAGACACCACCTTCTGTCAGTGCACCCCTTGTGACCTTAGCTGCTGTTCTGTGTCCATAATTCAGTGTCAGGTGGGGGAGCCAAACCCTGTTATCAATGCGGCTATTAGGACCAACTCCAAATGGCCCCTGTCTGTGTGGTTTGTCTTCAGTTGGGCTGGGCCCTTATCATTGCCAAGGTGCTAGTAGCTCCCTGATGGGGTCTATGCTGGAGGATAGAGACATGAGATTCTCAAGGCTGAGACCGTGCCAACCCCACCTGCCCCCTTGTGTGGCTCTGGGCTTGGTTTTTTTTGGTGGAGGTTGAACTGGAGCTTGGCACCCTCCTCCAGGGTGGCATTAGGGAGCTTGGTGCTCAATTGCTCTCTATTGCTCTTCCTCACACCAGATAGTACCTACTCCAGGAACCTCTGGGAAGCGTTTTAAGCATGGCTACAAAGCCTCCCTTGTGTGGGAGGAGTTGAAAGGAAGAGAGGGGTCCCAGCCTCTGGGTGCTGGTGCTCCGGGGTTGTATGAAGGGAAACAACAGCAGATCTTGGTGCCTTGAAGGAGATGCTGACCTCCTGCCCTACAAGGAGGATGGGGAGAGTGCTCACCCAGGGGTGGGAGAAGAGGGCCCATGTCTCAAATGGGATCTCCCAATTTTCAGGTTTGAGGATGATCACAATGAGAACCTATGGTGTTTGAGGTGGCTGTTCAGAAAGAAGAGAAATGAGGACACGAGTGTGTGAGTGCATGTGCTGGTGTGTGGGAAAGGGTCAGTCCTGGTTTATTTAAATAAAATAGTTTATGTAACAGTGATGGTTACTGTCTGTTGAAAGAGGAGTGAGGGTGAGTTAGAGGGCTCTTTAGACCATGCAGCCAGGAAGTCAAGAGTATACACACCAACTCAGAAGAGGGAAACAGGTGCCAGCTTTTGGTGGTCACACATAGGTGGACAAGGCTGGGGAGAAGGGGGTGTTGTGCAGTAATTAGTGCCAGGGGTGGGCTTGCGGCAAAGGGCCCGCATAGTTGGAGTGGCCACTGTTGGAGCTAAGACTCTAGAGCGTTGACATGACACATAGTATCCTGGATGTGTTTGCACAAGGAACTGGAGGGATCAAATTAGGGATGCTTGATTATTAAGTATGGCACGGTGCTGAATCTTGTATTTTCAGTAGACCGTGGGCTCTGTCTACTGCGATATCATGACATATTTACATAGATAGTGACTCCTGAGTTGGAGCTTGTCTGGTTATAGGTGGGAGAGGTCTGAGTATATTTAAACAAGGGTGAAAGATGCCTATGAGACATGAGGTCAGTCTGGTCCACAAGGAGCCATGGAGGTGAAGATTGGGCTGGAGCTGAGCCTTGCCACTCCCCAGTGCCTTGTAAACAGATGTGGCCCACTCTGCAATCCCATCATTCAGGAGGCGAATGAAGGAGGATCAGAAGTTCAAAGTTACCTTCAGCTACATAGTGAGTTTGAGGCCAACTTATGCTACATAAGACTCTCAAAAACAAAGCCATGATCAAAAGGCTTTGGGCTCCATCACATGTGGGGCATGCTAGAATTTAAACTGGATTGAGGCCAGCCCAGGAGAGAAAGAGAATTACCAGTGTGGTGGGGCTTTCAATGCCAGGGAAGGGCAGGATGGAGGCCAAAGAGGAGAGGTACAAACAGAACAGTGAGCCGTTGCACACTGGGTATCCAGGGCCATCAGGAGCCAGTACAAATGAACACTCACTGTACCTTTTGAGAGGCATTGTCCAGGTCTAACTTTGAGGCCACCATCTCTGAGCTTTCAGGTATACTGTGAGTGCACGGCTTACATCTTTGGGTGGACACACTTAAAAATCAGTTGTGTAGATTAGAGGTGTGGAATGGGGTGTTCTGCTGGATGTAGTGAAATAGTTACTATAGTTAAGCTTAGTGGAGTGTTTGTATGGTTATATTCTCTTTTTTTTTTTTTTGTTTTTTGTTTTTTGTTTTTCGAGACAGGGTTTCCTCTGTGTCGATAGCTTTGGAGCCTATTCTGGCACTCGCTCTGGAGACCACACTGGCCTCGAACTCACAGAGATCCGCCTGCCTCTGCCTCCCGAGTGCTGGGATTAAAGGCGTGCGCCACCAACGCCCGGCAATATTCTCTTTTTTTGTTAAAAACAACAACCTGAAGTGAATCTTAGCAAACTTAATTCCAGTTCTCAGGAGTGAGCTTTTGAGGTGGTGCTGGCCAGCCCCTGGGGATGGGCAGGGACCTCAGAGGAGAATGCTTGGGCTCTTTCCTTGTAGTTTGGTCTTGGCTTATTCACCTGCCAGATAAGGTAAGTGAGCAGAAACCAGGAAGATCAGAAAATGGTATTTCCTACAAACGGAAAAAAAATAACAGCTTCTTCTGGGGTTCTCCCCTCCAGCAAAGTCCTGCAAAGGTGTGCTCCAACTTTGCTAACAATGGTGCTTTTTACCTAACCAGTGTATCTCTAACCGGACACACCCACTTGTGAGATCTCAAGATCTCATCCTCATTTCCACACTGTCATACTACGTTATGGGGGTGAGTTCTATATGGTGTCTTCTCTAGAAGGACTGGGGCTTCAGTCTCCTCTATGCTGAGCATGCACCCTGCACCTGGTAATCTGTAAAGGTGTTTTTGCTGTTTGTCCCTCTTGCAGCTCAAACCTACAGCTGTCGACTTGATCTTCACACGGGTTAAGAGATCAGTATTGAGCAGTACAAAGCCCCAGAGTCAAGTCTTCAGTCTTTTGGGGAAATCTCAAAACTGCATCCCAGTGCAGCTGTGTGTAGCATGGATGCTACAGTGACTGTTCCTCATGACTCTTGTTGATTCTCTGCAGGTTCAGATGTGTAAACCCAAACCCCTGCCCTTGTGCATGACAAGAAAATGTTATGCAGACATTGCATTTTCTTCTCTTGGGTGAATTTGACAGCTTAACACCTGTAACTTGGAGCACGAGGGTGCTTCTCCGGCTGTCAGTCATGCTCTACATGCAGCAAGCAGAAGCCACCTGAAATCCGAGATCCCTTGCATTCTGACCATGGCTCTGACCTGAAGGTCTGTGTGCACATGAATGAGTTACTCAGCTCACAGTCCCTGTTCCTGTATGCAGAGAGAGGGCTGGACTAGGTAGCAAACCTCAGGTAGGCACTGAAGACTAGACCTTGTGGGCATGTGATGGGTGATGTAAAATAGCGAATGAATGTGGTCATACAGAGAATGGGGAGGGACAAACTGGGAAGACAAAGTCCAGCTTGGAGTAGCAGTGGCTGCTGAAGATTCAGCTTTTTTGTGTGAGGCGATGCTTGTTGGCATTGAGTGTCTCCTTTCCTGGGGCAGACAGGTGGTACTCACTACACAGTATGAAAACAAACCAGCAAGCAGTTAATTTGTTGAAGTATAACTTGGAGAAAGGGGTTGTCAAGTTGAGTTTCTTTCCTAAGTAGGAAAGAACATTCTAGACCTAGGTAGGATGCATTGAAGGAGCAGGGCCCTAGGGTTGAGAGAAGGGGATTTCACCTGCTACCTCATTGTGAAACTCTGTGTAGGCCACAGTCTATCTTTTTTACTCTTTCGAAAATAGATGAATGTATTTTGAAACAAGAAGATATTGTCTACTTGTTGGGGGAAAAAAAAACCACATACTTTTCATCCACAAGCATGAAAAATGTTCAGATTGCATATTGCTACTAAAAAGGCTAACTTCCTGGCTACCTTAGATTAAAAATATAGCTGAGGGACAATGGTTTGCAGGAATTTGAACATTCTCTTTTATAATACTGAGGTTTGAACCTGCTGAACTCAAATGATCTACTGCTGAGCCACACCCCCACTACCCACCACTGATGTACTCATCGAGCTCCACCCTCAGTCTGCCTAAGCATTTACATTAGGAAAATACTAGTTCAGATTCCAAAAGTAACAACTGCTTATAAAAAACCCAAACAAGACAATGAAATAGTGAAGGATCCCTGTCCTCTGTGGCTCATCCTCACATCATTGTGTGGTTTATTTGGGTCCTGGCTTTCCAAATCTTTTCTTCCACATAGTTGCAAAATTCACCTCCATTTGGCTCATATCACACCGTTTTGTAATCTGCAATTAGATTTCATATGTCTTTGACATCTTTACAAGTTGGCTGGACATATTTCTATCCTTAGACATCCCTTTATGATTGAATGTGGGATCTCAGTGCTGAAACTGAAGCAGAAGGATCAGAGTTCAAGGTCAGCATTGGCCACACAGTGAGTTAGAGGGCTACCTGAGCTACAGAAGAACTTGTCTTCAAAAACTAAAGCCAGGGGCGGGCGTTGGTGTCACACACCTTTAATCCCAGCACCCATGAGGCAGAGGCAGGTGGATCTCTGTGAGTTCAAGGCCAGCCTGGTCTCCAGAGCGAGGGTCAGAATAGGCTCAAAGCTACATAGAGAAACCCTGTCTCAAAAAACCAAACCAAACCAAACCAAACAAAACCCCCTAAAGCCAGGGTCTAGAGAGATGGCTTAGCAGTTAAGAGCACTGTGAATGAGTGTGTGTGTGTGTGTGTGTGTGTGTGTGTGTGTGTGTGTGTGTGTGTGTATGGGGGGTGGGGCACCAGGCTAGCTTGTGTGGGGAGTCAGAGGGCAACCTGAGGGAGTGGGCTGTCTTCTACCATGTAGATTCAGTATATTGAACTCAGGTCTTCAGGTTTGGTGGTAAGTTTTTCTAAGGCTGAGCCATCTCACTGGCTCTTCTGGCAGGATGTTAATATACCTATATGGAAATACAGTCTCAGTCATCCTGATAAATTTATAGGTGGTACTCTCTTTGCTCCCATGAGTAAGTCATTTATCAGCCTATGTCATGTGGGTGGAGCAGGACAGATGTCCTCCCAGGTACAAATGGAATAAAAAACTACTTACCCTCTCAAGGCAAGGCACAACCTGAAAAAAGTTTTACACTGTATTGGAGTGACTTACAGCAGGACACAGGCTGAAATTAACACACAGTATTTTTTGTGAGATTGCCAGAAAAGGTCTGGGAGTGGTGAGACCTGCCTGACCTCAGGTCATATATATTTTGGCCTTAAGCCTAGTTAATTGTCTTTTAGCATTCTTACTTGAAATATTTTCATGTAAGAGAAATACTAACTC